CACCCCCCTCTAAGGGCTGCCTCCTGGTTGAGGGGGACCCTTTCCCCCCTAAGTCACTAGCTGGGGTCCAGAGCTTGCCCTCCCCTCCCTTTCCCACACCCTCACTCCCATCTGCTGCAGGAGCTCACCCTGCTGGCTCCTCCCTCTTCTCACTTACCCTCTCAGCTTCTGTGAACTTGGAGGATTCCTGGCTGCAGTCCTTCCTTCCCACCTGCTACCCAGTGACCTTTCTAAACCAGAAACAAGCCCTGCCTTAAAACTGTTGGAGTTTTATCCCCTCTGGATAAACTCAAGCTTTGAGTGCATCACCCACAGCATGTCATGGGGGATCTGGGCTCTGCCAGCTCCTCTCTTCCCAAATTCAGTGCTCTCACCCCAAGCTTGGAGTACACACACACACACACACACACACACACACAGAGAGAGAGAGAGAGAGAGAGAGAGAGAGAGAGAGAGAGAGAGAGAGACAGAGAGAGAGAAAGTACTGTTTTTCACTCCATCCTTTGCTCCTCTGCTGTTCTTGCTGAAGTGTCCAGTTCCGCCCACCTCACTTGGGGAGCTCAGCTCAGGGATTTCCTCCCCTCCAGCCTTTCCCTCCCAGGGGAGCTGGAGCACACCCGCTCACTGTGCTGATCACACCACATTTCATGATGCTTCCTTTCCCTCCTATCTCCCCAGCAGGCAAGCTCTTGAAGGTATGGTGTCTTGTGTGTCTGTATCTGTCAGCAGCCTCTCCCTTCTTCTGCTCTCCCCTGGCCCAGCAGCCTCACCAGGGCATTCATTCTGTCTGACGGAGACACCTTCTGAGCTGAAAGAGTAGGGCCAAAGTAGCTGTGTCCTCAGAGATGAGGAGCCCTTCCTTCCCTTTCACGTTGCTCTCCAGCTTACCCGGATTCGGCTTCTCATAGCTTTGTGTGTATGTTTCTCAGGTGTCCAGGAATTTCATGCTATGTGAAGGCTACTTTGGTCTCCTCAGTTCTGTCCCGGACAATCAGCCTCTACACTGGAACTGCTGGATTTCTCTGTAAAAGCATTTTATCAACCTCATTTCTGATCCCTCAATAGCCCTGTGAGGTACTGTAATCTCCATTTTTTTTTCTTTTTTTGAGACGGAGTCTCACTCTTCGTTTAGGCTGGAGTGCAATGGCCCGATCTCAGCAACCTCCATCTCCCAGGTTCAAGCGATTCTCCTGCTTGAGTAGCTCCTGAGTAGCTGAAATTACAGGTGCCTGCCTGTACGCCCAGATAATTTTCACATTTTTAGTAGAAACAGGGTTTCTCAATGTCGGTCAGGCTGGTCTCAAACTCCCGACCTCAGGTGATCCACCCACCGTGGCCTCCCAAAGTGCTAGGATTACAGGCGTGAGCCACCGCGCCAGGCAGGGTCTCACTCTTTCACCCAGCTGCAGTGCAGTGGTGTGATCATAGCTCAGTGCAGTCTCAAATGCCTTGGCTCGAGTGCTCCTCCTGCCTAAGCTCCTGAAGTAGCTGGAAGTACAGGTACCGGTCACCATACCTGGCTATGTTTTTTTTTTTTTAGAGATGGGGTCTTGCTACGTTGCTTAGGCTGCTTTCAAACTTCTGGACTCAAGTGGTCTTCCTGCCATGGTCTCTCATGTCTCAGGTCAATTTTTTTCTTTTTTAATATAGGAAAAGGGCCAGGTATGGTGGCTCACACCTGTAATCTCAACACAATGGGAGGCTGAGGTGGGAGGATCACTTGAGCTTAGGAAGTGGAGGTTGCAGTGAGCCAAGACTGTACCAGTGCACTCCAGACTGGATGACTCAGACCCTTTCTCACACACACACACAAAAAAATTGGACAAGGCCCGGGTGAGTGAGGAGTTGAGTGCATGAGTCCAGGAGTTCAGGATCAGTCAGGTTAACATGGTGAAACCCCATCTCTACACAAAATACAAAAAAAATTAGCCAGGTGTGATGGCACGCACATATAGTTCCCACTACTTGTGAAGCTGAGATGGGAGGATCACCTGAGCCTGGGAGGTAGATGTTGCAGTCAGGTATGATCACGCCTCTGCACTCCAGCCTGGGTGACAGAGCAAGACCCTGTCTTAGAAAATTAAAACATGGGTTTTTCATTGTAAAAATACTTACATGGTCCAGCTACAGTGTCTCACACCTGTAATCCCAGCACTTTGTAACCCCATTGGGTGGATGGCTTGAGCCCAGGACTTTGAGACCAACCTGGGCAACATGACAAAACCCTGTCTCTACAAAAAATAAAAAATTAGCTGGGCATGGTGGCACATTTCCTGTAGTCCCAGCTATTCGGGAGGCGGAGAGAGGAGATTGCTTAAGCCTCGAGGTTGAGGCTGCAGTGGGCCAAGATGGCACCCTGTACTTCACTCTAACCCTATCCCTCTTCGCTCTAACCCTAGGGTGACAGAGCAAGTCCCTGTCTCCAAAAAAAAATGCTGAGTGTGGTTGGTGGCTCATGCCTATAATCCCAGCATTTTGAGAGGCCAAGGTGGGTGGATCACCTGAGGTCAGGAGTTCAAGACCAGCCTGGCCAACATAGTGAAACCCTGTCTCTACTAAAAATACAAAAACTAGCCAGGTGTGGTGTCAGGTGCCTGTAATTCCAGCTACTCGGGAGGCTGAGGCAAGAGAATCGCTTGAACCTGGGTGGTGGAGGTTGTGGCCTAGAACGGGTCTAGAACCAATTCTTAAAACAGTGTTTGAACTGGTCCACAGCTCTAATTTTTCATGAGCTACCATTTCTGAGGCCAATATAAACTTCATTTCATGTTCCCCATCTCCAACAGGTGGGCATTAACTACCAGCCACCCACAGTGGTCCCTGGGAGAGATCTGGCCAACATGCAGCAGGCCGTGTGAATGCTGAGCAACACTGTGGCCATCACGGAGGCCTGGGACTGCCTGGACCATCAGCTCAGCCATGCACACCTTTGCAGACTGATATGTTGGGGAGGGCATGGCAGAAGGCAGAAGGGGAGTTCTTTGAGGCCAGCGAGGATCGATCTCGCAGCTCTGGATAAGGATTATGAAGAGGTGGGCGTGGATTCCATAGAAGCTGAGGCTGAAGAACGCAAACAGTGAGGGGAGGGTGCAGCAGGCAACCATCCCTTTGTATTCCCCACCATAACCTTAGGAAAGCTAATTACCTATTAAAATTTCTGTATTGCGATATTGTTTTTCTCCTGTGTTGTACTTTGACAGATTCCTCCTCCAGATAACCTTCTTTTTCCAAGTGCATTTCTATGGGAAAAATTAAAGATCTGTTTTCTTACAGAAATTATTAAGCATGTCAGTATGTTTAGTAATTGCTTTACTCCCCTAATGGAGGCTTCAAACCACTTGACTGAGGGAATTAGGAAAAAATGCTTAATTTTACCTTTTTTTCTTTTGAGACGGAGTCTCACTCTGTCGCCCAGGCTGGAGTGCAGTGGCGTGATCTAGGCTCACTGCAGCCTCTGCCTTCCGGGTTCACGTGATTCTCCTGCCTCAGCCTCCGGAGTGGCTGGAACTACAGGCGCATGCCGCCACACCTGATTATTGCTATCATTATTATTATTTTTTTTTTTTTTTTAAGACGGAGTTTCACTCTTGTTACCCAGGCTGGAGTGCAATGGCGCAATCTCGGCTCACCGCAACCCCAGCCTCCTGGGTTCAGGCAATTCTCCTGCCTCAGCCTCCTGAGTAGCTGGGATTACAGGCATGTGCCACCATGCCCAGCTGATTTTTTGTATTTTTAGTAGAGACGGGGTTTCACCATGTTGACCAGGATGGTCTCGATCTCTTGACCTCATGATCCACCCGCCTCGGCCTCCCAAAGTACTGGGATTACAGGCGTGAGCCACCGCGCCCGGCCTCATTATTATTATTATTACTGTATTTTTAGCAGAGACGGGGTTTCACCATGTTAGCCAGGATGGTCTCGATCTCCTGACCTCGTGATACACCCGCCTCAGTCTCCCAAAACGCTGGGATTAACAGGCGTGAGGCACAGCGCCTGGCCTATTATTTTACATTCAAACCTTCGGAAGTCCTTAAACGGAGTGGCTATTTTCACTGAGTCTTAGGGGAAGAGGTGAGGGCTCAGGTTAGGAGCCCGCCAGGTCATGTGTCCAAGGACTCCGCAGGCTGAGCACAGTAGCTCCCGACGCTGCCTTTCCACCAGCATCCTCAGCTTCTTCCGGACTCTGTCACGCCCCGAGGGTGGCTACAATGAAGCCTCCTGCCCGGCGCACGTCCCCAGTGTAGTCAGGGGCATTCCTCGCCCTCCCTCAAGTCCCCTGGTACTCGGCAGTGAGTGCAGGCTCTGGTTTCTGTCGGGTTCTCTTGGGCAAGCGTCCCAGGCCCGGTTTTCTTTCTTCCGTCAAGTCTTTCCGAGGCGATCTGTCGCCCCTGCGGCTTTCGAGGTTCCCAGGGCACTGCCGCCTTCCGCTCCCGGGCCGACCCGTACACTGGGACCGCTCCATTGTGCCCGGGTGTTTACAGAGAAGAGTGAGCCCTGAACGGACGAAAGAGAAGCCCACGTGTGTGACCGCACTGGTAGTCTGGGAACGGAGACGACGCAGGTGCGACTAGAACTCGCACGCTCGCACCGCCTCCGAATCCAACTCACGAGGACTTCGCCCCGCCCCGCCCTACGGGCGGAGCACCGCCGACTTTCCAGTCTCTATGGTACCAACTTCCGGCGCGCGCCACCCCTCGCGAGACTTCGGCGGCGCAGCAATGGCCAGATCGTGAGTGCCGCTGACGGGAGTCTAAAGAACCGGCTGGGACGGGGTCGGGCGAGAACAGGCCGGGAGCCGGGGGAGACTCGACGGGTCAGACCTCCCCCCTCCGGGGAGGAGCGGCGGCTGAAGGCACGAGGCTCCTCTGGATCCCCAGACAGCCGCTCACGACTTAACTCCCGCCTCTTCCCTAGATGCCGCGTCACTGCTCCGCCGCCGGCTGCTGCACACGGGACACGCGCGAGACGCGCAGCCGCGGCATCTCCTTCCACAGGTCGGCGCGCGTGCGCGGGCTGACGTGCGCATGCGCTGGTTGCTGCTCGCCTCGTTGGGCCGCAACTGCGTAGACGCTTCGCGCCTTTCTCGGGTCCTGAGGGGCCTTGAACCTGTGGGTGGGAGGTGAAGTGGGATGGTCCCGGCGGGACCAAGTGCTGTCGGGAAGGGGAGAACGGGAAGTCTAGCCTTGGACCTGCCCCGCTCTGACGCTGAGCAAACTGCTTTTCTTCTCTAGGCCTCCATTGCCTCGTCTGTGCCCGGGCGGGTGGTGCTTGCCCGGCGGGGTCGCAGGGAGGTCTCGTGGCGGCGCGTGTTGGGTCTGCTTTTCCCCAGCGGGGAGCTTGGGCAGCATGAGCCCCGGGCTGCGGACAGTCTACTGCTCACGGGTTTGTGGCTCCACAGACTTCCCAAGAAGGACAACCCGAGGCGAGGCTTGTGGCTGGCCAACTGCCAGCGGCTGGACCCCAGCGGCCAGGGCCTGTGGGACCCAGCATCCGAGTACATCTACTTCTGCTCCAAACACTTTGAGGAGAACTGCTTTGAGCTGGTGGGAATCAGGTGGGCCTCCCTGCCAGCCAACATTGGGGTAGGAGGTGGGGCTTCAGGCGGATTGGGACAGCTGCAGGTCCTGGAAGTCCCTTGAGCAGCCTGCCAGGCAGGCCGACCTGCTTCCAAGGTTCCCAGCTCTGTACAATGAAACCCACCCCCAGGATCACTGCCAGTGACACAAGGGAAAAACATGAGCCTTTCCAGAGAGTATTCTTCAGAGCCCCAGTCCTGCCAGCGAGTCCACAAATGAAAGAATTCTTTTTGGCAGGTCAGCCCAGCTCTGCTTGTGCAGGCTTTCCACACACCTCGACTTTGAGGAGTACTGCAGCGAAGCGATTGGTGTAGCTCTAACTTGGCATCCCCGAGACTTACTGTTTGCACGATGCTTTCCAGCCTCCCATGGCGCTAGTGCTGGGGAAGCTGTTCCGGGGTGCTGGGGGCAGATTGGCTTGGGGAGGCAGCACTTGCTCTCCAGCTCATCTGGGCTGCTTTTCCCCACAGCGGGTATCACAGGCTAAAGGAAGGAGCAGTCCCCACCATATTTGAGTCTTTCTCCAAGTTGCGCCGGACATCCAAGACCAAGGGGCACAGTTATCCATCTGGTCCCCCTGAAGTCACCCGGCTCAGGCGATGCAGGAAGCGGTATGTGGTACTGGTGGGGAAAGCCCCACTCCCACCTCTAGGCTGAGGGACTGGGCTCTGGGTCATCTGCCAGCAGTCTAGCCCGACAGGGTTCTTGCTGCACAGAACCTGTGGATCAGGTTTGGGTGCTGGGGGGTTAAGTGGGCTGGTGGAGTGGGGTCTGGCAGGCCCTCAGCCTAGCCCATTAGTCTCTCTCTTCCCCCTTACCAGCTGCTCCGAGGGCCGAGGGCCCACAACTCCATTTTCTCCACCTCCACCTGCTGATGTCACCTGCTTTCCTGTGGAAGAGGCCTCAGCACCTGCCACTTTGCCAGCCTCCCCAGCTGGGAGGCTGGAGCCTGGCCTCAGCAGCCCCTTTTCAGACCTTCTGGGCCCCCTGGGTGCCCAGGCAGATGAAGCAGGCTGCAGTGCCCAGCCTTCACCAGAGCCACAGTCCTCCCCGCTCGAGCCACGGCCAGTCTCCCCCTCAGCCTACATGCTCCGCCTGCCGCCACCCGCCGGAGCCTACATCCAGAATGAACACAGCTACCAGGTGGGCAGCGCCTTGCTCTGGAAGCGGCGAGCTGAGGCAGCTCTTGATGCCCTTGACAAGGCCCAGCGCCAGCTGCAGGCCTGCAAGCGGCGGGAGCAGCGGCTGCGGTTGAGACTGACCAAGCTGCAGCAGGAGCGGGCACGGGAGAAGCGGGCACAGGCAGATGCCCGCCAGACTCTGAAGGAGCATGTGCAGGACTTTGCAATGCAGCTGAGCAACAGCATGGCCTGAGGGAGGGGCTGCTGGACTGACCGAGGGGCTGCCCAGCAAGGCTGCAGCCTCCTTCTCCCTCAGAATCCACCATACCCACCAGGTGCCATAATAAAGTGGATTCTAGAAGGAGGCCCTGCTGTCTGGCTCAGCTGGGGGCTGGAGCCCCTCTGGGTACTAAGCTTGCTACCCCCAGACAGGGGCTGCAGCTCCCAGAGGGCTTAGTTCAAGCCCTTCACCAGGGAGAGCAGAGAGCCTGGCTTTCACCCCTCAGAGCTACTGGTAAACCGGTAGCAGCCAGCCAGTGCAGCTCCATGTCCCACAGGGTTTTCTGAAGGGGCAGGATGATGTGAGTAGGGGCCAGGAAGGCAGTTCAAGGCACCCTTTCCACGGGATCTGAAACAGCCCCAACTTAAGCCAGCCAGCCCCTTTGAGAACACTCCTAAAACCCGGTCCAGATTCAGTTCTCAAACAGGTGCATGACAGGCTTCTGTCCACAGGCCTCATCTGCCTGGTGGGTAAGCAGGGCAACCCCCTCGCTGCTCCCTTCACTGCTGTCTCTATTTGAAAAACGGACAATGACAATGATCAGCCTCCTGGGGCACGCCAGCAAGTAGTGAAGCCCCAACAAGTGACATTTCTAGTCCCTGGAAGTCTGGGAAGAGGTGGCTAGAACTTGCAGACAAGCACTTGGGTCCTGGTCTCAGCATCCTTTTCCTTCAACTCCCAGAAACCTGGAAGGCCTTGCCGCAGCTGAGATTCTCAAACAGCTCCGTGCGTGGGATGATTCTCACTGTGAGTTTGGCCTTTCCCTGCCAAAGAGCACAACTGAATTCATTTTAGTCCCAGAAACTGCCACAAAAATTTTGTAAAATTTGCTTTTTAGGACCCTTGGCATGTAATTTCATTTATTCACATCAACATCATGTCTAGAAAAGACAATTGAGGGTTCAGTGACGGGGTCAGCATAGAGCAGGGTTTGCAGACTAGTTCAAGGAGGCTTCTGGGCTGGCCCCTCCAGGAGGGGTTTGGAGGAGGCTGCCCTGTGGGAGTGGTAAGAGCCACATCTTGTGGAAACTGGGTAGGTGGTTCTGTGGCCCCACTGAGTGACTCAACATCTGGCCCACTTGGCTGGCTGCCCTAGCCTGCACTCCACTTCCATGTGTTGACATACCCCAGCCACAGCCCTGGGCGTCTGTCCTCACCAGAGGGCCTTTTGGCTCAGCCTCTGCCCCTGCTCCTGCCGTCCCTTGTTTGCCAGCTCATCTTGCACCAGGCCACTTCCTAGCCTGCAGGCTGCCTATGGATTTCTCCTGTTAGCTAAGCAACTTGCCACTCAGGGCCCCCCATCCACGTGCACACAGGCAGAGGAGGAAAATGAACTCTAAAGCCAAAAAAGAGCAGGTCATTTCCCCAAGGTGAGCTGTGGCTTCATGGCAGCCATGACAAAATAAGGAGTCCTGGAATCCTCTTCCCAGTAAGGGAGTACTGGTTCCCCAGCATCAGAGTGGACTCATGTGGCCCTCACTAGGGCAAGAGGGCAGCCCACCTTCCACAGCAGCCAAGAGCACAGTACAGGGGCAAAAGGGCAGGAGCCCACTCCAGGATTCCCCAGGGAGGGGCCAGCCTGGAGGCCTCCACAGCTCCTCTCCCCATTGTGACTGGGTCACCCCAGGTTGGGGAAGGAGTTGACAGCATGGCTAGAGACAGGTAAGACCAACTAACCTACGTCTGGGGGTCTGCCAAGCCATGGGCCACACAACCAGTCCTTGGCTGCAGGAGGGCTGAGGGGCTGAGGCCAGCAATGGTGGCCAGGCCAGCAAGGTGTATATGGTAGGTAGCACTGCTGTGGCTTTAATGAAGGCTTATCTATGACAGAATACTCAGTGAGGGACACGGGGGACTTTGCTGGCTTCTCGGCCCAGCCCTGAGCCCTGACATGCACACAGGTGGGCTGGGATCCTTCAACCCCTATGAAAATCAGGCCCGGCCCAGCCCAGCCAACCTGGGAGCTGACCTCAGGGCCCTTCACTCCAGGATTCACCTCAAGTCATGTGAGACCCACATGCGGTCCCCACTCAAGTTCCGGTGGGAGGAGCCCCTTACATGGATCTCAGTGAGGGTGGGCAGCGCAGGAATAGCCCAGACAGATTCCCTGGTGCAGGGGCAATTCTGCCAAGCCTCCTTCTGCATGTTGGAGGGGCCTTGGTGACAGGCCCCAGTGCCTGGGTCCACAACATGCCCAAGCTTCGGACGCCAGGCCGAGCTCCACAGGGTGGGAAGCCCATCTCTCCCCACTTCTGGTTGGTGTCCCCATCACTGAGCCGTGACCTTGCACCCACACGACACCAGGAGAGGGTGCCAGCAGGGGAGGAGGTCTGCTTCATCATCCGCTCCCTGTGGGACCTGTGTCCTCAGTGAATTGAGGCATCTGGAGCCACACATCCCCTCAGCTCTCTCTGGAGGCTCTGGGCACCCTGACCCTTGGCCTGGCAGGTGCACCCACTCTGCCATAGGCACGTGTGTGGCTAGTACAGTCTTCTCAGTGGGCAGGGCAGGCAGGCATGGCAATTCTTCACGCTGGGTAGGCGCCACAGGGTCTCAGATGTCGGCGCCCAGCTCTGCACACTGCTTGTCGGAGATGTGGGAAGCCAGGGAGTCTATGATATCCAGCAGCAGCTGCTGGCTCAGCAACCGCAGCGTGGGCAGCTTGGAGACCTGCAAGGCAACCAGGCCAGAAGGAGATGGTACCAGATCCACATAAGGGCCAGCGTGGGCAGCAGAGCCCTCTATGGCCCATCCTGCTCAGGGCTCAGGCTGGTCCTGAGGACGGGGCTAAGTGCGGCCAGTTGTGAGCTACTCTTATTTTGCTCACTCCCAGGGCCCACAACTGCAGGAGACCACAGAGCCTGGGCACCCCTCCCTGCCCAGGCACGGTCACTGCCAAGGGGAAGCAAGTCCTGAAGGGGAAGCCAGAGCCCTGACCTTGGTGAACTGGTGCACGATGATGTGCAGGCAGTGCCGCTTCATGTCCAGCGCCTGGGTTTTGTCAGCTGCCTCCAGGATCTGCAACGGCAGGGACCTTGAGGCGCTGCCCCTTTCACCCCCGCTCAGTAGCAGCTGCAGCCATGGGCACAGGGCTGGGGGGCTACCTGCAGCACGTTCTGCACTGTCACATTCATCTCTAGGTTTTGCTTGCAGTACGCTTGCAGCCGGTTGTTGTAGAAGCCGTAATAGTAGGGGGCCGCAAACAGGTAGCTGGGGCCTGGTTAAGGAGCTGACCAAAGGAAGCTGGTCCACCCACATCACCCACACCCTCCCAGGGAAGGACAAGGAGGCGCGCAGCTGGAGTCCCAAGCTCACCAGAGGCCAGGCTCCAATCCAGCCCAGACGCCAGCGGGCACTCTAAATGGATTCTGAACTGCTTAATGGGTCAAAGGTCCCATTCAAGATCCAAAGAAAACCATAAATCCCCTCCCCAGAAAAATACTGTCTGCACATCTGCAGTGCTGTTCCATGGCCTTGCAGGCCTAACAGGCATCCTGACCCCCCATGTTCAGACCCCTACTGAAATGACTTAGGAGTAGCACCACATCTGTGCTCAACTGTCACACAAAGAAATGACCCACCCCATCCTCTGGGCAATTGTGAGGGTCAGGAACCCACTGGTTCCTCCTGGCTGCAGACCCCTCCCTGCCAGCTGCCACCTGCTTCAGAGAGCACCAGGCCCAGCCCCAGGCACCAGCAAATCCTCTGGAGGGAGGTACTGGGCCCAGATCACCCAGCCCAGATAGTACAGCAGGCCTCAAAGCTGCCCAAGGCAGGTGCTGGGACCCATCAGTGGGGACCTGGGAGCTCCCTGGGGCACGAGGATGCAGCGAGTCCTCAGGCGGCATGTTGACCTCGCCGTAGTAGATGTAGCGCAGCATGGACTCGAAGGCCTGCCTGCTGGGCACCATCTCCCCGATGGAGATGTTCACCTGCCCATCCTCGGGCATGAAGGACCGGAACATGGCTTCAAAGTAGCTGCAGACAGCGAGTGGAAGACACCCGGCTGTCAGCAAAATGAAGACACCATTCAGGCCCGCCCTCCCCTCCTATCCAGCCCTACCCACCTGGAGCGGGCGGCCAGGATGGCCTTGTGGGCCGGCCGTGGGTGCCCATCCAGCAACAATGTGATGTCACAGAACTCTGCACCTGCCCCCTCTAGGTATGCCTTCATGTCCTGGATGAGAGACGTGCCTGGGGGTGGGAGGGACCCTGAGCAGGTACAGCCTGGGATTCTGGCCTCGAGGCCCCACGGCACTACCTTCCTGCACATCTGCCCATGTTGCTTCCCTAAACAAAACTTCACCCAGGCAGGAGGCTTCACTCTGGCCCTGAGGCACCATCAGCCACATTCTGTCCTCCCTCGGCACCCCACACAATCTACCCCCCAGCATCTCATCTTCCACCCAGCCTGCTGTGCCCCCTTGCTGCCCTCATGATCAAGCCCCCTCCAGGCCCACCGCATGGCCTCTGGTGTCTGCAGATGTCACCAAGAGCCAGCAACTGGGGTCAGCACAGGCCCAGGGGGAGCTGGGGGAATGAAGGGGCCTATGACATTATAAGCAAAGAGAAGTCCGGAGATTGATCACTGTGACTCTGGGCCATCAGACCTGACATCCCAGCCCAAAAGAGGAGCCCCATGTCTACCCCCAGAAATCAGCTCAGGGAATTCCAGCTCACCAGGACACAGCCCACTGTGGCAAGCCCCGTGGGTTGGGGGCTTCTGCGTCTATCTGTTTCTGCCCTGTACCCAGGAAAGCACTCTGGGGTCCCATGGCACCCACCCCAAGGGCCTGGCAGGTGCTATGGCTCCCAAATCTCCTGTCACAGATGAACACCATCACTCCCAGCCCCCAGGAAAGGGGAATGGGGCTTCCTACCAATGTCCACCGGCTGGTCCGAGGGAGTACGAGGGGGCGGCTGCTGCTTCCGCCGCACAATCTCCACGATCAGTGGGGAGGAGAGGCGCTCGAACTCCTTCATCATGATCACCTGGTTGAAGTGGGACTCCTTCACCACGAAGTTCAGACAGTGCTCCTGGGCAGACAGGCATAGGCAGGCAGGCGGGGGGGTCAAGCCAGGGCT